CCAGAGGCTCCAGAAAGACCCCCAAGAGGCCTCCAAGAGGGTCCGAAGATAGTCCAGACGACGGGCCTCCCGCAGTTCCCAATGGGCCAAGACCATTCCCAGGACCACTCCTTCCCAGGACCACTCCGACACCCCAGAGACTCCCAAGAGACTCAGACACTTGCCAAAGAGAGCTTTAAGCAGAGCGCCATCAGCCACGGCACCCTTTCGCCGTCTCTGGAACCTCAGAAGTCCCTCAAAAAACAGCGGATTCCGAACGAAGGCCTGGACCACTCCGAGGCGCACCAGACCATCCCAAGATATTTCGACAATGCCAACGGAGCTCCCGAAAGAGCTTCCCGCCGTTGTGCCTCCCCGGTAGCCTTCAATAAAGCCTCGTACCCATATCCTCTCCTGATCCTTCTCCTTGGCTCCTCTTTCTCCAGGCTCCGTACACTTTGGGGTCCCCACACAGCCGATTCGGGGTGGCAAAATGGACACGTAGACTCCCCAGAGCTCCTGCAGCTGCACCCGCACCCTTCTCTGTCTTTGAAAGCCTCCAGAGGAATACAAGTACCGCCCTCGCTCCACAGGAGGAGGAGGAGGAGGAGGAGGAGGAGGAGGAGGAGGAGGAGGAGGAGGAGGAGGAGGAGGGAGGAGGAGGAGTAGGACGAGGAGGAGGATCAGGAGGAGGAGGAGGAGGAGGAGGAGAAGGAGGAGGGCGGAGGAGCGAGGAGGGAGGAGGGAGGAGGAGGTTCTGTCTCTGAAAGCTTCCAAAGGAATCCAAGTACCGCCCTCGCTCCACAGCCGCTCTCTACCGCCTCGGCCTCCTGCTCGCTCATGCTCCCCACCTCCTCTGCCCTCCGCTCCCCAGCACGTCTCGGGCCTCCTCCCAGCGATTAGTGGCGATAAGGAGGACCTTCTTCCCACTCCTCTGCTCTGGCTTCCTCGTCTGCACCTCCCTCTCTCGCTCTCTCTGGACCTGCTTGCTTTCTCCTACACCCACCTTGCGATCAGGGGTGACAAGGGGGACCTTCTGCTATCTTCTTTACCTCGGCTTCCTCCTCTGGAAGCCTGCACTCCTCCCATCTCCGGTGCTGCTCTCATCCTCCTTCTCTTTCTTCTCCTCCTCCTCCTCCTCCTCCTCCTCCTCCTCCTCCTCCTCCTCTTCCCCCGTCTCTTCCTGCAAGAGGCTGCAGCGAGACTGGACTGCGGGAAGCATTCGATGCCACAAGAACCACCCAGGGACTACTCCAAGATAGCCTAGACTCTCCCGAGACACTCGAAGACAGCCACCAGCCCCGGAGCCCGAAACCTGTAGCAACCCCCAGAGCAAACCCGCAGGCGTCGGCGGCACATGCGCGTTTGGGATCGACACCTTGACCTGCCAGCCGTGGATTCTCCACGGGTTCACACTGGTCATCTACAACGCTGGAATCAGCGCTTGCGAGAAGGGCGATCAGTGGCAGCGGGCTTTGGCGCTGCTCAGGGAGATGCGGGCTGCGGTGTTGGAGCCTCGTGCCATCAGCTACAGCGCTGGCATTGGCGCTTGTGAGAAATGCGGGCAGTGGCATCGAGCTTTGGCGCTGCTCGGCGAGATGTGGGAGGTGAAGTTGGAGCTTGACGTCATCTGCACTACAATTCTGGGCGAAGCGCGCGCGAGAAGTACAAGCAGTGGCAGCGGCCCGGGCCGCTAGAGAGCTCGCGGGCCGCCCGGAAAGCCTCCGGGCCGCTGCCCGACGGGCCCGGGAGGCCCCCGGACCGCTCGCGGATTGATCCATGATTCCCAGATCGCCCCAAGACGGCCTCAGGAGGTCCCGAAGACGGCCCAAGACGGTCCAAGAGTGTATCCGAGACGCTTAAGATGGCTTCAAGACGCCTTCAAGACGGCCCGAGACGCCTCGACGAGGCCCCCACAGCGCTCGAAGTGCACCTCCAAGAGGGGCCGCAGAAGCCAAAATCGCTGATTTTCTGTATTATTTGTTTTTCAATGTTTCTGGCCTTCTCGCTTTTGCGGCTTTCCGACGCTCCACGGCCGCCCAAGAGGCCCCCAAGACCGTTCCAAGACGGCCCAAGAGACTTTCAAGACGGCCCAAGAGGGCCCCGAGACGGCCCAAGAGTCGCCAAAGACGGCCCAAGAGGGCCCCAAGAAGGCCCCAAGAGAGGCCCAAGACAGGGACCCGGAACCGAAAAATCGAAGCCTCCACCCCACGAGGCCCCCAGGAAGCCCCAAGACGCCCCAAAGAAACGCCGGGACGCTCCCAAGACATCCCCAGGAGGCCCCAGGACGCCCCACAGAGGCTCCAAGAGGCCCCCCAGAGGCCGCCAAGCGCCCCAAAAGGCCCCCAAGAGGCCTCAAAAGAGGGCCCAAGAGGCCCCAAGACGCCCCCAAACTGCTACTGAGAAGCCCCCAAACTGTCTCCCAGAGGCTCCCGAGAGGCCAACCACGAGATCCCAACCAACATCCACGAGATCTCTTACCCATTACCCAGGCCCGCGGCGAGATTGCCCGCAGGCCACTACAGCCGGTTCGGGAGACCTACGTATACCAGCACCCACACCCTTGGCTGTATCGATGCAGGGCCACGGGGGGCCGAAACCTCGTGAAACTCAGATCGTCTTGGGCGGTGTCCAAGGCCTTGGGGTACGTGTGGGGGCCAATCCTGGCGCAGTGGAATGGCCAGAACCTTCGGATTTTCGCTAATCGCGGAGAGGCCGGGCGCGATTAGCGAAAACCCGATGCTTTTTGAGACCTCCACGCCCGGCCTTAATCGGTTACGATAGCCCTCTTGGGCCCTTCGGGCGCCTCGTGGGGCGGCTTGGGGCAATCTTGGGGGTGTGAGGCCGTCTCGGACCTCGCGTTGGGCTCCCGTGGGCGGCATCTGCGGCTGTGCTGGGCCCTGCTGGGGGTCACTTCAGGCTTCGGCGACACGTGCGAGTTCGGGACCAACGCCTGGACCTGCGGGCCGTGGATTTTCCACGGGTTCACACTAGTCATCTACAGCGCTGGCATCAGAGCTTGCGAGAAGGGCGATCAGTGGCAGCGGGCGCTGGCGCTGCTGAGCGAGATTCGGGCTGCGGTGTTGTAGCCACGTGTCATCTGTACTATAATTCCGGGCGAAGCGCGCGCGAGAAGTACAAGCAGTGGCAGCGGCCCGGGCCGCCCAGAGAGCTCGCGGGCCGCCCGGAAAGCCTCCGGGCCGCTGCCCGACGGGCCCGGGAGGCCCCCAGACCGCTCGCGGATTGATCCATGATTCCCAGATCGCCCCAAGACGGCCTCAGGAGGTCCCGAAGACGGCCCAAGACGGTCCAAGAGTGTATCCGAGACGCTTAAGATGGCTTCAAGACGCCTTCAAGACGGCCCGAGACGCCTCCACGAGGCCCCCACAGCGCTCGAAGTGTACCTCCAAGAGGGGCCGCAGAAGCCAAAATCGCTGATTTTCTTTATTTTTGTTTTTCAATGTTTCTGGCCTTCTCGCTTTTTCGGCTTTCCGACGCTCCAAGACCGCCCAAGAGGCCCCCAAGACCATTCCAAGACGGCCCAAGAGGCCTTCAAGACGGCCCCAAGACGGCCCAAGAAGGCCCCAAGAGAGGCCCAAGACAGGGACCCGGAACCGAAAAATTGAGGCCTCCACCCCACGAGGCCCCCAGGAGGCCCCAAGACGCCCCAAAGAAACGCCGGGACGCTCCCAAGACATCCCCAGGAGGCCCCAGGACGCCCCACAGAGGCTCCAAGAGGCCACCCAGAGGCCGCCAAGCGCCCCAAAAGGCCCCCAAGAGGCCCCAAAAGAGGGCCCAAGAGGCCCCAAGACGCCCCCAAACTGCTACTGAGAAGCCCCCAAACTGTCTCCCAGAGGCTCCCGAGAGGCCAACCACGAGATCCCAACCAACATCCACGAGATCTCTTACCCATTACCCAGGCCCGCGGCGAGATTGCCCGCAGGCCACTACAGCCGGTTCGGGAGACCTACGTATACCAGCACCCGCACCCTTGGCTGTATCGGGGGCCTCACCGCTGCTCTCTCGGTTCTGCTGGCTTCGACCTGCCAGAGCTCTGAGCCGCTCCCCGACGCCCCCAGGACGCCCCTGGAGCGCTCCCCGACGGCTCCCGGACCCCCAAATCGCTCCAAGACGGCCCCAAAGACGTCCAAGAGAGCCGAAGCCGATCCGGCCAGAGCCCCACGACGGCCTCGAAATGCCCCAGAGACGTGCCTCGAGGGCCCCGTGGACCATGCCTTGAGTTTGGGGTGATCGAGCACAGACCCAGCGCGATTAGCAAAAGCCAATTCCTTTTCACGCTTCTAGGTCAGTGCCCCCGGGGACTGCTTTCTGAGATCGCCCCTGGACGTGGCCCCTTACACGTCGGCCCCACGCGTGGCCTCCAAACGGGACCCCCGAAGGCGGCCCCCACACAAAGCCTCCGAAGGTCGCCCCTACCGCCCCAGTAAGCGTGGCCCCCGAACGTCAACCCCACGCGTAGCCCCCAGGCGCCCCCAAACGTGGCCCCAAGACACACAGCCCCCAACCATTGCCCTCAAACGTGACCGTCACATCTGCCCCCGAACCCCGTACCCTCAAACGCGACCGTCACATGTGCCCCCGAACCCCGCACGCGGCCCCCAAACATGGCCCCCGGCAGGGCCGCGAACGTTGCCCCCAATCATGACCCCCTGACGAGACCCCCCAACGTGGCCCTCAAACGAGCGCACAGGGACTCTGTAAGATCGTTCGGGCCCCCTTACTCTGATTGTGTCTGAAAACCTACGTGTTTCTGCTAATCGCGCCCAGGCCTCGCGCGATTTGCAAAAACACATTACTTTTGACGCTTCCAGCGCTTCCGACACGTGCGCGTTCGGGACCAACGCCTGGACCTGCGGGCCGTGGATTTTCCACGGGTTCACACTAGTCAGCTACAACGCTGGTACCAGCGCGCGCGAGAAGGGCGATCAGTGGCATTATGCTTTGGTGCTGCTGAACGAGATGGGGGAGGTGAAGATGGGTCTGGACGTAATCAGCCATAGTGCTGGAATCAGCGCGTGCGAGAAGGGCGATCAGTGGCGGCGGGCTTTGGCGCTGCTCAGCGAGATGCGGGCTGCGGTGTTGGAGCCTCGTGCCTTCAGCTACAGCGCTGGCATCAGCGCTTGTGAGACATGCGAGCAGTGGCATCGAGCTTTGGCGCTGCTCGGCGAGATGTGGGAGGTGAAGTCGGAGCCTGACGTCATCATCTACAGCGCTGGCATCAGCGCTTGCGAGAAGGGCGATCAGTGGCAGCGGGCGCTGGCGCTGCTGAGCGAGATTCGGGCTGCGGTGTTGTAGCCACGCGTCATCAGCTACAACGCTGGTACCAGCGCGTGCGAGAAAGGCGATCAGTGGCATTCTGCGCTGGTGCTGCTGAACGAGATGGGGGAGGCGAAGATAGGTCTTGATGTGCTCAGCCATAGCGCTGGAGTCAGCGCGTGCGAGAAGGGCGATCAGTGGCGGCGGCCTTTGGCGCTGCTCAGCGAGATGCGGGCTGCGGTGTTGGAGCCTCGTGCCATCAGCTACAGTGCTGGCATCAGCGCTTGTGAGAAATGCGAGCAGTGGCATCGCGTTTTGGCGCTGCTCGGCGAGATGTGGGAGGTGAAGTCGGAGCCTGACCTCATCATCTACAGCGCTGGCATCAGCGCTATGCGAGAAGGGTGATCAGTGGCAGCGGGCGCTGGCGCTGCTGAGCGAGATTCGGGCTGCGGTGTTGTAGCCACGTGTCATCTTTCTCTACAGTGCAGGGACCCGCGCGTGCGGGAAGGGTCCCTGTCTTGATCGATTTAAAATACCCCACAACGGCTCCGGGGACGCCCCAGAGGCGCTCACGCGGCCCAAGAGGCGCCCAGGACGGCCCCAGACACCCCCAAAACGGCCCAAGAGCGCTCCAAGAGAGCTCAAGACCGCCGAAAACGGTCCCGACAAGGCCCAGGAGGCCTCCACGACGGCCCCAGAGACGCCCAAGAGGCGTCCCAGGATGGCCCCCACAGGCCCAAATCGCTGTTTTTCCAAAGAAAAACATCCAATTTTAGCATGCACTGCTTGTCGGATATATGGCGCAGAAATTGGGACAAGAGGTCCCCACGACCGCCCCAAGACGGCCCAAGAGGCCCCCCAGAGGCACGAAAACCAGCCCGAGAGAGCGTCAAGAGACCCAAGAGGCGCCCAACACGGCCCCCAGGCGGCCCCAAGAGGCCCCAGGAGGCGCCCAGGACGGCCCCAGACACCCCCAAGACGGCCCAAGAGCGCTCCAAGAGAGCCCAAGACCGCCGAAAAACAAACCCAAGACGGCCCAGGAGGTCCCCACGACGGCCCCAGAGACGCCCAAGAGGCGTCCAAGGATGGCCCCAAGAGGCGAAAATCATTGTTTCCCCGAAGAAAAGCGCTCAATTTTAGCATGCGCTGCTTGTCGGGAATATGGCGCAGAAGTTGGTTCAAGGTCCCCACGACCGCCCCAAGACGGCCCAAGAGACCCCCAAGACGCACGAAAACCGGCCCGAGAGGGCGTCAAGAGAGCCCAAGAGGCGCCCAAAACGGCCCCAGGGCGACACCAAGAGGCTCCCAGGACGGCCCAAGGTATCCCCAAGACGCTCCAAGAGCGCTCCACGACAAGCCAAGACTGCTTTTGCGGCGCCAAGAACGCCCAGGATCGATTCGTATCCTCGCACTGGGGCCCGTCTTAGGGAGTTCGCGGGCCCTTCTGGGGCCGTCTGGAAAGCCACTTGGCCCGTGCTGGAGACCTTTTGGGCCGTCTCGCCGCCCTCTTGCAGGCTTCTTAGGCCGCGCCCACTGGCCCCATTGTCACCGCACTACCAGAGAAAATTACCATTCGGCCCCGGCGAAGAGCAGATAAACTTCTCACGGCTACCCTCCCCGCAGAAGATATGATGAACACAAACTGCGACGTAAGAAACAGCTTCTGTCCACACCATGCCATGCATACATGGGTGTGCTTACACTGACACCGTCTGCGCCACCGCGTTCCTGCCTCCAGGCCTGCTTGCTTGCATCCCTCGCCCGCCTCCACCTCCAGCGGCCACCTCCTCCATCTACGCCGTCCCTTTCCAACCACTCCTTACCCGCAAGGCCCCAGAGACGCTCCATTTCCACGTCCACGCCATGGCGGGCAGATTCCGCGGCCGGAAGGCCGCGGGTCAGCCCTAGTCAGCTACAACGCTATTACCAGCGCGTGCGAGAAGGGCGATCAGTGGCATTCTGCGTTGGTGCTGCTGAACGAGATGGGGGAGGCGAAGATGGGTCTTGATGTATAATGCTGATACCAGCGCGCGCGAGAAGAGCGATCAGTGGCATTATGCTTTGGTGCTGCTGAACGAGATGGGGAGGCGAAGATGTGTCCTGATGTAATCAGCCATCGCGCTGGAATCAGCGCGTGTGAGAAGGGCAATCAGTGGCAGTGGGCTTGGGCTTTAGAATCAATGAAGTTCGAACCCGTCTGTACTGCTGTTCTGGGCGAAGCACATGCGAAAGGGGCGAACGCTCCGAGATCACTGCGCGCCTCTGGGCGCTCCACGCCACCTCCAGCGGGTCCCCCGATGGCTCTAAAGCCAGCTTCAGACGGCTTCAGGACAGCTCTGGTGCTCTCAAAGAGGGCGGCGGGACGGCCCAGTATGACCCGGAGCGAGCCTCATGGCGGCCCAAGAGGGCCCGAAGACTCGCCAGGAGGCTCCCCTTACGGCCCCCGAGGACCCCGATGACGGCCCCACGAGAACAATAAGCAGGCAAAAACTCTGAATTTCCCAGGTTTTTCATCCACGCCGGTCGTTGAAAGTAGGTATTTCTGGACTCCCAGATCCCAATCTGCTTCAAGTGCCCTCCTACTTCAAGAATCGGCACGTTTTTGCTGTGTTTTGTTATTCCCTGTGGGGGCCTGGACCCAATCCACCTTGCCCGCCTCCCTACTCCATGTTTTTACTTACTTCTTCCGACCGATTATGCGTCCCCAGGGCCTCCTCCTCCTCCTCCTCCTCCTCCTCCTCCTCCTCCTCCTCCTCCTCCTCCTCCTCCCCCTCCTCCGGCTGGCAGCGGCAACACACAAGTCGGCCGCACCGTTTCTTGTTCCAGCCCGCCGGAGGCCTGGGCCAGGTTTTTCGTATTCTCCAAATGACGGGCCCAGAAGGGCCCCGCATGGCTCCAGGTCCTTCGCAGCTCGCCCCAGGGCCCAAGGGGGCCCCGACGGGCGCACCAGGAGCTGCCCGAGAGGGCGCCCCAGGCCGCCACCGTGGCCCCACGACGGCCACGAGGCCCCCGAGGCGGCCTCAGAGGGCCCCAAAATGGCCCAATGAAGAGGAGGAGGAGGAGGAGGAGGAGGAGGAGGAGGAGGAGGAGGAGGAGGAGGAGGAGGAGTAGGAGGAGGCCCCACGATGGCCCAACAGGGCCCCAAAGTGGCCCAATAAGGCCCCACCATGGCCCAAGAGGGGTCCAAGAGCCAAGGGCGCCCTCGAGGGCGTGAAATTATTCGCGTTTCGCGGGCCTCGCTCCTCCTCCCCCTCCTCCTCGTCCTCCTCTTCTCCCTTCGGGTGGGCGGCGCGAAACCGCCAATTAGTCGCGCTTCGCGGAGCGCGAAGCGCGACGTTGGGAGCCCTAGAATCAGGCCCCACGATGGCCCAAGAGGGGTCCAAGAGCTGGTTTTAGAAGGGCTACTCAGGGGTGCCTTAGAGCCTCCCAGTAGGCTCCGACAGTTGCCAAGGAGCTCCCACGAGAGCTTCCAGCCCCAGCGCCTTTCCTTTCGCCGTTCCTGGATTCCCCGAAGCCCCAGAGAATGCCCCAGACCCCAGGGAGGCCCTAGACCACTTCTACATGCCCCAGAGCCCCCCAACAGACTCCGATAGTTGCCAATTAGCTCCCAGGAGAGCCTCAAGCCCTGGAACCTTTCGCGGATCTCCAAAGAGAACGCCCCTTCCTGGAGGAGAACATGAGGAGAAGGAGGAGGAGGTGGAGGAGGACAAGGAGTAGGGGAAAGAGGAGGAGGAGGAGGAGGAGGAGGAGGAGGAGGAGGAGGAGGAGGAGGAGGAGGAGGAGGATGGAGGAGGAGGAGGAGGAGGAGGAGGAGGAGGAGGAGGAGGAAGGAGGAGGAGGAGGAGGAGGAGGAGGAGGAGGAAGGAGGAGAAGGGGAGAAGGAGGAGGCATAGGAGGACCAGGAAGGGGAGGAGGAGGAAGAAGGAGCAGGAGAAGGACCTTCTTCCTCCTCCTCCTCCTCCTCCTCCTCCTCCTCCTCCTCCTCCTGCCTCCTCCTCCTCGCTCCTCTCCTCCTCCTCCTCCTCCTCCTCCTCCTCCCTCTCGTCCTCCTCCTCCTCCTCCTCCTACTACTACTCCGGGTCCTCGTGCTCCAGTAGCGGCCTCTTCCACCAAGGACGCCCAGAAGAGCCTCAAGGAGTCCCTCAGGCTGGTGGAGTCGCAGATTCCGGGGGCGCTACCGTCCCTGAAGCCGGCGCTGGAGCAGCTGCGGGACCGCGCGAAGAAGGCCGGGGAGGTGATCACCAAGATCTTCGCCGCCACGAAGGATCCCGAGCGTTGCCGGGGGCGCGGTGGTATGAAAGAGGGGGTGAGGGGGGGGGACAGGCAGGAGGAGGGGGAGAGGGAGAATAGAGGGGAAGAGGGAGGGTGATAGGGGCGGGGAGAGGAACGGATATATGTACATAGATGTAGATAGATCTGCAGATTGCTATACTCATGTATAGATCAATACACACATACACACACACACATATATATATATATATATATATATATATATATATATATATCGGAGTAGGGCCCCGGGGCGGTGCCTGTCATCTCCATGGGGTGTGCAGGGTGCCCCCGGGAGCGTCCGAAGCGTCCCAGAGGGCCCCTGGGACCGCCAGGAACAGTTCGAGACCGCCCAAGACGGCCCGCGAGCGCTCCAAGACGCGCATACATAGCCTCAGGAATGGCCAGGAAGGCCCGAAGACGTTCCAAGAGAGCTCCATGAGGCCCCGAAGGCATCCCAAGAGGCCTCCCAAGAGAGCCCCGACAAGCCAAAATCGTTGATTTTATTGTTTTTTTGGAGGTTTTGGCCTTCTCGCTTTTTCAGGGTTCCGACGCTCCAAGACCGTCCAAGAGTCTCCCAAAACCGCTCCAAAACGGCCGAAGAAGCCCCCAAGACCGCCCCAAGACGGCCCAAGAGACCCCCAAAATCGTCCCAGACGGCCAAGGAGAGCCCCAAGATGGCCCAGGAGCCGCCCAAGACGGTTCCAGGAGAGCCCCGACAGGGCTTCAAGACTGCCTAAGCGAGCCCAGCGGTCCCCAAGAGGGCC